TAATTAAAAGTGATATTTTTAGGCGATTTTTCATTTGTAAGAATATTCTTACAAAATTATCGTGCTACCATGACATCTACTTTAGATACTTTGTGTTCGGAAAATACAATGGTTTTGTTAGCAAGGCGAGGGTTTCTGCATGCATGTATTTTCTAGTCTCTTTAATGATGGCTGTATTCGATGTCATAATTACATCGATTAGCGAAGACGTATTAGGTGTAACGCGCGTGGGAAGTGTTACCACCTGGGATAGATTTAGAATAGAACATAGATTATAGAAAGCATCAGATTCAGAGGAACATTTTAATAAGTCACAGTTCAAATCTCCTACAATCAACACCTCTTTACAATGAGTGAGGGCTTGGGCGTATATACGCATCAGTAAATTCATCAACAAAGTGGGAGACTGGAGAGTCGGGAGGTCGATAAGTTACACATAATAGGAACGATCTTATTTTCTTATGTTGGATCTACGACCAAAGCTGATGAAAACTAGATTGCGAAATTCCCGTCAAATTAAATCTTTCAAAATATTTATTTTTAACGAGGCCCGCGTATAAATTAAAAAAAACACCTCCTCCAGCTTTATTTAATCTATCCAGTCTGGATAACGAATATCCCTCAATCTCTATGTCCGCATTTCGGACTGTCGAATTTAGCCAAGATTCAGAAACAGCAAAAATGTCATACTCGTTTTCTTGCACGATAAACTATGTGAAGACCAACCTGATACAATACAATAAGTAGACATACATTAAAGACAAGGACTAGAACACTATTTACATAGCTATATAAAAATTAATGGTTTAGATTATGTGCAACAGCTTAAGTTGAAAGAACGGCATTTAGAGCAGTAGGTTTTCCAAGTGCGCATTCTGTTAACATCGAAAGAAGAGTCTAATTGTGAAGAGTAGTGAGAATGGAGCTGGAGTTTAAGGATGAAACAGAAGAACTGTTACGAATGATCGGAGAGAGATTGTTCCATAGAAAGACAATTCGGTTAGAAAAAGAGTTTCTAAAAAGAGAGGTTTTGCACGGATTGACTTGAAGCAAGTTATCATTGCTTGAACGGGTGCGAGATGAGCGATTATAAGAAAAGGTGACAAAAGAAGAGATATCTAGGTCGTAGAGGCCTTCTTTGCATTTGAAAAAAAAAGATGAGGTCTTTATTTCAAGCCAGTAAGATATAGGCAATAAATTAAGCTCAAGATAAGACAACTCATAATTTTGAAGTATAAATTTAGTAGCTCGTCTGTGAACACCCTCCAGGATCGCAAGATCTCGTGACGAGGCTTGAGGTGCCCAGATCTCACTGGCGTAAGACAAGTGAGATCGGACGAGTGAGAGATAGAGAAGCCGACGGCAGCGAGTATCAGTCATTTGAGAACAATTTCTCCGAAGAAAACCAAGCAAACGGTTGACTTTAGCAGTACAGCTGGCAATGTGAGGGGACCACTTAAGGTCATTGCTCACAACCACACCTCACCCGATTATGGAGATAATCAGCGAACCAGTTAAGAAGTTGACGGGAAATTACAAACGATTTTAATGACGTCACAGTTATTGTGAGATGCAGAGTCAAAAGCTTTAGCAAAATCAAGATAAAGAAGATCAATTTTATTGCCAGAATCAAGAGCACGACTAAGATCGTGCAACACATTCAAAAGTTGAGTAACACAAGTTCTATAACACAAGTTGAGTAACACAGCGAAAGCCATGTTGAATGGCATACAAAGAGTCCTTAATGAAAGAAGAAACCTGTCTAAAAATCAAGCATTCAAGTACTTTTGAGATTTGGGAGAGTAATGAAACAGGTCTGTAGTTGGTGACTTCATGAGCGTCACCTTTCTTAGGTATTGGAACCACATTAGCAGATTTCCATTCAGAAGGAAATACACCCTGCTGAAGAGATAACTCGAAGATAACTGTTAAAGACGGAGCGATGACTTCGGAACAGCGCTTTAAAAGATATGCTGGTATGCCATCAGGCCCAGTAGCCTTAGAGGGTGATAACAAAGATTGAACTTCAAATTCAGAAACAGTTATTGAGTCAAGAAAGTTTGATGATGACTGCGAAGGAGAAATTAAAGGTAAAGAAGAATTTGAGTCGGAGGTAAAAACTGACGTAAAATAAGTATTAAAAGCATCTGCCTTTTCACCAGAAGAGAATAGTATAAGGCACCGTATCTTAATTACATCAGGTATGGACGATTTAGAAGATTTAGACTTAAAAAATCTCCAAAATGATTTAGAGTTATGGTATAAGGATTGAGAAAGTCCAGATAAGTATTCTCTCTTCTTGGCATTAATCGAACATTTGACGTGTTGCCGAGTCTTGCGAAATTTCTCCCACAATTGAGGCGAGTTCTTAGCCTTTGCTTTTCTCCTTAGGGACCCCTTCATGTTGATGGCGTGAAGTAGATCTTTGGTGATATAAGAAGGCGTGAAGGAACGCTTGAGGGATGTTTTCGGAATAAAACTATCAGCAGCAGTAAGGAAAGCAGCTTTCCACTTGGACCAAGCAACATTAATGTCGTTACAGTTATTGCGAACTAAATCCACTAAAGAAGCGTTCTCAAGACAGTTTAGGAGGCCAACAAAATCTCCCTTAAGAATAATTATAAACTGTTCGCTCGGTGGATTGTTTTGGTCGTTGATGCAATTTTAAGTCAAAAGATATAGCTTTATGGTCTGAGTGTAAGGAGTTGGAATCATCACCAGTTATTTCAAAGCTATCAGACAAATGTTCATTCGTAGTGAGAACCAGGTCAATGAGATTATGGCCACGGGTAGATGAGTCTATTTATTGCAAGTAACTAAAGTCAGTGATAAGGTCAATAAAACCAATTTCTGATCCTATGGTAGAAAAACCCGATCCGTCAGACCATTGAATATTGGGATAATTAAAATCGCCCATTAAAACAACATCTTTAAATTGAGAATCAGCAACAAATTTCAAGAAACGGTTCAGTTCGTGCAGGAAATCAATTGAGGAATCAGGAGGGCGATAACACACAGCGACAAGAACTTTTTTTGATGACGAATTTATCACAACTGAAGCAAGTTCCAATGAATCTGAAACAAAGTCAGTTGGTTCAGTTCTGACAGAATCTTTCACAGCTAACAATACACCACCTCCTCGTTTTCCAGTTAGTCGATAGTTAAGTTATACACATTTACACCAGAATTTGGCCTTACAAAGATCATACGATATCGATTTTCAAGAATTGGTATCGAATAAAGCCGGTTTAGACATCTTTTCTTTCCTCCCCTTGATCCTCTTATACTTCCCAACAACCCATAAGAACGAATCCCTGTCCATACAGACGGCGTACAAAAAAAACGTTCGCTCCAGTGAGTTTGATATGCTTCCAAAAACCTCGTAACGATAAAAGATAGTTTTTCGAGTATGTGAACATGATTTAACCACGGTTTTAGCACTAAATATGTCCAGAAATTCCTTGATGACTTGCCAGCAACGGTAAACGTGAAAAATCCCCAAAGAAACGACAATAAGAATGCAGTAAAATGCAATAAAATGAGGAGCTCAAAATTAGGGCATAGGCCCATATATGTTGTTGGCTGTCAATGTGCATGATCTTAAATCCATTTTTAACCATGTGAGAAAGCCGCTAAAAAACAAGGTTGTGCAAGTGTGACAAAGCACACAAAGTTGTTAATTTTAATAGTTGTTATTCTATCTTCCATTACACTAAACCCCTCAGTATGAGGACTATTAATTATTCATTTGGTTAGTTGATGTATTGTAAAATGAAATCAGGACAAATATAAGGACAAACTACGTTGTAAATATTACATTATTTATAGTTTTAAAGTAACGGTGAATGGTTGCGGGACAATTGGGTTATTATTAGGGACCGGTCATTATTTATGGCGGGGGGTGACACCGAAGAGAAAAGGGTTGGGTAAACAAAATTTTGAGTGAGTAAAAGGTTGGGTAAATAAAAAACGAAACAAGTTAAAGGTTGGGTAATAAAAATTTCTTGTCATTTCCAAAGCATGACTCGCTCAAATATTGAAGACTAAAATCTTCAATGTTAACAGTCATATGTCAATACAATATGTGAATCAATCATGAAACTTTAGACTGCAGAAAAGTCAGTAAATTTCACAAGCCGAACGTTAACAAACTATCAAACATTCACAAGCCGAACGTTATCAAACGTATCACAGAAGTGGTAAAGGACATGTGTGACAACTGAATGACATCCCTTTGTAAAGTGTTTGGCCAGGGGTGGGTATTTCTTTTTTAAATGATACTTGAGGTTGGGTAATCAAATTTTTGATTTTTTAATGGTTGGGTCAGCAATATTTTTGCCACGAGAAACATTTCTCTTCGGTGCCACCCCCGACCATAAATAATGACGGGTCCCTTATTCAGGATTGTGCAACTTGTAAGTTTATATTGGAATGGAGTATCTCTTATACACACTGGTATTTGTCTATATTGATAACTATATTATTATACGTAATATATGTAATTGATATCTCTTTAATAGGATTTGAATAAAGTTTAACTTTCATACGAATCGGCAAATATCCATACAAGAGAATAAACAAAAGGTTCCTAAACACTACAGGTTGTTTCACCATTCAAATAAAGGAGAATTATATTATTTATTAAGATTTCAGTCTGTAGAGAAACATATGGTAACAATTGTCAAGCCTAAATATATATTCATCGTCATTTGTTTATTTGTAATAATGAATCAAGCAAAAAAGGCGAGAACTATTGCTAAATTATCATTTACCCGTAGTGCTAAATCCATCCAACGGCTAATCGAACAAGGACGGCCCGAACCGGAAGTTGTCAAAGCAGACGGCATATTTGAAACAGCCTATGAGAGAGTACTATCTAAGCATGAAGGATTTGCAATACTTGTACAAGAAAAAGAGTATGAACAGGAAGAATAATGGATGAAAGAGTGTCAAAAAAATATGATGCTATTTGTATAATGATAAATGATTATAAAATAACCATGGCTCCGAAGAACAATATTACAACCGATAAAGTGCAAAATCCAGCCAGCTCTCAGGATGTCGATGTGGACCCAAACAACACAAATATATCATCGGGATCAGGCATTGATGAGACTGCAGAATCTGTACCATCAGGGGAGGCAGAACTCATTATTACATTGGAATTATCACATGACAACCAAGCTGCCGCACCTAATTTTCCCACTTATGCTGCACCCTCACCCAGTCCAACTTCCATGAAATTGAAAACAGAGAGAGCACCGCTTCCTAAATTTGATGGAAATGTTCGAAATTATCCGGAGTTTCGTAGAGATTTAAAATTTTTGGTGGAAAAGCAATACACAACTCAGGAAGCCCTTTATGTTCTTCGTAGCTGCCTGGACAAAAGCAGTGCCGACCTGATAAAATGCAAGGAGGACTACGATGCTGCATGGGAAAAATTAGACTGAGAGTATGGCGACCCGAAAATTGTTTCTGATGTCCTGCTGTCTGATTTGGAGAAAGTAAAGCCAGTGGTCGAATTTGACTTTCCACACTTTGTTCAGTATCGTGCTTTAATTAGAAGATATTCAGCATGCTGACAAAACTGAATCGACCCAGAGATTTGGATAGTACAACAACACTGAGTACCATGGACGAAACATTATCAACGAATGACAGTCTAAAGTGGGCAGACTACCAAGAAGAAAAGGGGGTAACTCCAAAAATTGAAAACTTTCTAAAATGGATGGAGAAGGAAGTACGAAAGTGAACGATTGCTGGAGCCGATATTCGTTCCCAGAGAACAATTTCTCGAAGCGCTGACAACAAAGGCTCAGTAAATACCATCATATTAATTGAAAGGTGAGAAGGATTCTAGCACGGGTACCAGCACGGACAAACTCGATTCAAGGACTGAGAATCCAGGTGAAATATTAGGTGAGGGCAACCAATCACCACCACAACCACCACAACCAACGTTTCAGCATTGTTGGTTATGCAAACTGCCCCACCAGTTGGACACATGCCAACGGTTTCTGAGTATGATCCCTACTGTTCGTCTCACAGAGGTGAGGAAAGCTCATGATGTTATTTTTGTTTAAAAATTCATCGCAACCCATGTAGGAGAAGGAACTAGGGATCCAAGGATAGTGTGAAGTTTAAAATTGAAAAGACACTGCAAGAACTATATAGGGTGGCCGACAACCTAGAAAAGCTGATGGTTTACACTACGAAAGAAACAGTTACCAAAGGCATTTCATCTCATTATTCATTGCTTTTAATACGCTCGGCACATTAAATACTACGTCGTTACATCATTAAAAGGACGCATTTTATCCTCATCCGTTCCGTATTTTATCCGCATAACCGTTCCGTGGATCCGCTCCACCCGCTTCCGCATTTTAACCTAATTGTGACATGTTTCACAATAACAAGTCTCATGTCACTTTGACTTTTCCCAGTGTCACGTCTATTTTCAGCTTTTCGCATGTGTTGAATAATGCCACTTTAGATTTCAATAGTTTCACAGTTAAGGTGGCTCGCTACAGTTTATAGAAATGTTGAAAATGCGTAAACTAGATCACCTTTTTGAAGAGATGATGCTCTTTACAAATCAAAATTTGTATATTATATATACAGCGACAATCAAACAGTCGAAAATTGGACAGAAAAGTGACGTCACCACTGTTACTATGGCAACAATGACGATTCAAGATGGCCGATATTTTGGATTTGAACGCATTTTACTTTAAAAAAAGGTCCGTTACCCCCATTTTTTATTTCAGAAAACATTTTCTTATAGTACAATACACCATCTGACAAATTTTTAAAAAATTTCTGTAATGCCAAATTTTTAAAAAAATTATAAACATGGTTTTTTGAAATAAATTTTTTTTTGCATTACAGAATTTTTTTAAAATTGGTCAGATAGTGCATTGCACCATAAGAAAATGTTTTCTGAAATAAAAACTGTTGGTAACCGACCTTTTTTTAAAGTAAAATGCGTTCAAAGCCAAAATATCGGCCATCTTGAATCGTCATTGTTGCCTTAGCAACAATTTTCTGACCAATTTTCGACTGTTTGATTGTCGCTGTATACATAATATACAAATTTCGATTTGTAAAGAGCATCATCTCTTCAAAAAGGTGATCTAGTTTACGCATTTTCAACATTTCTATAAACTGTAGCGAGCCGCCTTAAGCAGTGTTTAATTAAAGCAGTTTTGACAAGCTTTGAACAGTTCTGTGTACAGAATAGTACAGATTGATTCTCGTAAGATCTGGTAGAGTTATCGTTGCACTGAACAAGAGTTTGCACCTTTGACAACGGCGTTGTGCTAGACACAGGCGGCCCAATCTCCGGATGGTCTATATCTTTTGAATATTTATATGGAATATTTAACGGTTATAATATTTAATAATGAAGTAATTCAAAAAATATTAGCAGTATATGTAAAAAATATATCTATAAAGGACTAACTTGTTAATAGAATGCATTTGTTGTCCCTTACGAAAATCAACACTATTTTAACCCTATTTTATCCATATTTTACTTTCTATTTTATTCCTATAGAAAAGCTATTTTATTTTTAACCCTATCATATTGCTATCACATATACAAATCCTATATTAAACCTATTAGAACTCTGTTTTAATTGTATTTTATAGCTATTATAAATTGGGTTTTTTGAAACAAAAAATAGCCTATTTTAAATAGATTTTATTTTTCTGAATCGGTGAAGCACAGATTAAAATAGGTTTAAAATAGGATAAAATATATTTAAAATAGAGTGCAATATTTAAAACAAAGTTACCTTCATTAGCGTCGGCGACTTTGCTCTATTCTTTTAGACGTTTTTAGACGTTTTTGGCTCTCAGAAAGGTTTTGAAATTTACAAAATCTTGCAAAAATACAACTTGCAAGAAATGTTTGTTATTTTGCTGTCGTCAACGCAGTCGTTACAATGCTAATTTCAAATTTGACCAATCAGTGTTCACTATTCAGGATGACCACCCATGAACGGTGAGCCATCCGCCCACGATATTTGATGAACTTTAGACTTCGCTAGTGCGTTCCTTTCCCCGGGTGTAAATAGCCGGGGAGAATTAGTACCCTCGCACGGTTCGGGGATAATAGTGTAAGTTTACCCTCACAGTTTAAATAAACACGAAATTGGTGTCCCCACAGAGGCAAGCGGATTTACACCAAAGCAGCGTTAAATAACCTAGGATGGTGCAAATTTACACCAAATAGGTGTTCATACAAATGGCTAATAAAGGCCGGTGTCACAGGAGATTCGCTCCCCCAGGAGATTCGCTCCCCCTCTCGAAAGGGGGGCGATATTCCTAAGATATTCGCCCCCCCGGGGCGAATCTCCTAGGAATATCGCTCCCCAGGGGGGGGGGGGCGAATTTCCCAGGAATATCGCCCCCCTTTAGGAGTTTCGCCCCCCCCATATAAATTTTGAATTTTTGATCTAAAAACAAAACGATTGCAAGTTGAAAAGATTTATTGTGTGATTTATTTATTTATTACAAGGAGACAAAATTTCATACACATTTTAGGCTTCTTAGCAGCTGGTGGTGTGCACAGACTGCATGGCACTCATTGGAGTGTCATATTCTACACATCTAAAGTGGAACCATCACAGAGATCGCATAAAATCATGTTGTCGTACTATTCTGGCAGTTTACATTCACATAACATATTATAAAAACAATCGCTTGCAAATTTTATCAATATGAGTGTTAACAATAGCCGCCACAGTAATCACTTGCTAACAATAAACTATAGGATTAGTAAAAAATCTATGGAATGTGTTGGGAAGCGTATTGACTATTGTCCGTTGAATCGTCAACTTTCTGTGTCAGTGATGTAATCTTGATTTTTCACTCCCGCAAAGGAAATTGCATTATATATGTGGTGTGGTTTATTCAAATAATTTAATGATACTTTGATTTTATTAGTGCATGCCTTAAACATTTGAGAATGTAACTCTGCAAAAACTAAAAGCTTTCTTGTCTTTTTTGAAACGTATATTATTTAATTATTGCCTATTGGCAAGTTCTACCCTTCGCCTCTGAGACTTACAAACTATATTGAAATAATGCAAGAAAAAAATAGTGACAAACCATACATTTTCCGATAACGACAAAACGTGGATGCAAAACAATACCAATAATTACAATAATCACCATGGTGATTACTTTTTAACAATGAGTTTAAGGATTAACACTGAAAATGCAAAATATGCATGGTGTGCTGTGAAGCGTCATAAGTCCTATTGAGTATTGATCTACTGTAACTGTGTAAAGCCCTTTCGATACATGTAATTGTAAATTTGTATTCTTACATGCAGGGCTTGAAATAAAGTTCCCAAAGTTCCCAAACATGGTGATCAGCAGTAGTGACTTTCCCTGCTTTTTTCAGGTTGGAAACCGAAACCCTGCTTTTCCGAATTACGGCCTGATACTCAGGTTACCGCCGATCATAAGCAATTCCTTGCCGATCATTGATCGGTGATCGGTTGTTATTTCAAGCTCTGTCTTAACAATTTTGAATTGATCTGATTTCAAATGATTAAAGCCATGTAATAATTATCCCATGCAACTGTTAGGAAGGGCGAAATTTTGAACGGAGGACGAAAATCCTAAAGAATAGGTGAAGTTTCTAAAGGGGGGCGAATTTCCTAAAGGGGGGCGAAATTCCTAGGATTTTCGCCCCCCTGGGGGGCGATATTCCTAGGAATTTTGCCCCCCGAGGGGCGAAAATGTAGGGGGGGGGGGCGAAAATCCTGGGACACCGGTCTTAGGACACAGGGGGTAATACTTCATGTAAGACAAATTATAATCTACCCGGGCAAGTTTGGGCATGCCCAGAATGACGAGTCCATCTTCTGGAAAACGGAATTCGAGGAATAAAAACCATGAGGTCACTTCCGGTTCCCAATCCCCCTGCGCCCCACTGGGAACACTCTGCCTACCGGACACCCCTTCCCACACTCGCGCGGTCATGCACATCCATGCACAGCCATACACAACTCCTTGCGCACAGCCTCCGCCACAAACGCCGCAAGCCCACCGCAGGCCTCCAACCCCACGCGCTTGCTGGGGTTTTCCTTAAGTCTTTTGCGAAAATCTTCCCAAAGATATTAGTGACTTTTGCCATTATCTATATAACAGCGGCAGCGTTGTTGAGTTCGTACGAGAGCAGATTGAAAAAAGCCAGGGGAAAGGTAAACGGTAAGAAAAAGTTTTTGTATAAGTAAAGGTATGGATTCTCCTTTTGAAATGGCGCTTAAAAAATACAGGGGAAATATGAATTTATTTCGAGAGGTTAGGGAAAGGGTTAAGTGTAAGGGTTTGAATATTTTCGAAATAGCGTACTTGGACACCATCGGTTGGGACTTTGATGAAGGGGTTCTAAATCAGGAGTTATTATTTGGTATGGATTCTCCTTTTGGAAAGACTCTTTTTGAATACCATGAAAAGTTGTATCCGCCCTGGGAACCAAGGAAGAGGAGTAAGAACATGGAGCTTTTTGAGATTGCGTATAAGGAGTATTTGGACTCGGTTGGTCCGGAAGAGCCGGATGAGGAGATTCCTGAACAGCAGTTCTGTTTCGAAAGACGTAAGCATTAGTTTATCAATATAAACTGGGAAAGAACGTGTATTGAGTGTGGGTTGGTATCTGGTCCGACTCATTATGTTTCTGAGTATGGCTGTTAGAATAGGGCACGTATGGATGGTCCGGACAGAAGTAGCATTAGTTTTAAGTTCGATAGTTTTTGTCAGAGGAAGAACATAACGGCTTACCGTCTGCTTGGAGGAAGAGTAGGTGAGGTTGTAGAGAATATTAAGAAAATTTGCGATGCAGAGGAACCTAAAAGGAAGAGGCTTCCTAATTTCAATATTCTAACTTATCAGGTATGTAGGAGGCTTAGCGTGGAGATAGACGAGTCTTTACTTAAGATTCCTAAGGGGAAGATTCCTCACGATCGGTGTAAGAAAATATTTCAGACATTAGGTTAGGATTATATTGAATAATTTTAATGTTTTACCAGCCATTAAAATTGAAGTAGTAGCCTTAGGGTAATGATAGTAAGGAAGACCTCGACCGTTATCGGGATCAGTAGGCAGCTGATCAGGCACAGCCACATCAGTTTCCGCGGTACCTTCATCGTTTTGTTTATCATATTTTTTACCGTTGCGCTAGCGTAACCGATGCGAGTATGTGCACTCAGCGTGATGTCTCCTCGTTCAATACCGATACGCAGGTTAAACATTTTTCTCCTTTCATGATTTTTGTTGTGCTTCACCCTGTTTGCGGTTTCATGTTTTGTGGACAGGCACCCCATTCTTTTTAACCAGAAAATAAAATGCCATTCAACATGATTATCGTAGGTATGACAGCCTGTGGGAAGTCGCATTACCTCATTCAGGAGATAAAGACAACGTTCTTTCGTCAGTTTGAAAATATATTCCTGATTTGTCCTACCTATCACTGGATTAACTCTTATGATCATGACAATGGCTTTCATACTCCTGCGTGGTACGTTGATCGTTTCGTTAATAATGGTGGAATCTTTGCTCCATTCTGTTTTCTTCGTTAGGGTAGCATGCTCGAAGGATAGTTCGCGTTCGGATCCGTATAGGTTTTCAGCCTTTCTTGCGAGTTCGATGTTGTCGATGGATTCGTATTCCAGTTCGATGTTTTCTAGGGTGTATCCTTCCATGGATTCTCCACCTTGAGCGTTCATGATTTCATCTGCTGTGGATAGGGTGATTACGTATTGTAGGTCGTTTGCCATGTTGTGTGGGGCATAGAGTCCATGATCTTTGAGGATTTTGTTGATCCGGATTTTCTGTTTTGTCCCGAACACTTCGAACAATGCGGTAGCTACCGCATCATCGTTTGCGACGTCGTCTTTGGATATTTTCTTTCTCGTGGCTTCGCTAGCGATACTATCCTCTACCATATAATCACGCTGTTTGTTGTGTAGCCATAGGTCTTTGTAGACTTCCAATAGGCTTTCTCCACTGTTGTCGTAGACTTTTTCCCCGGAAAGGCGAATTTCTAGTCTTTCCTGGAGCAGTTTCCCTAGGTTGTTCCTAAACCAAGATTTTGTATTACTGTTCTTAAAGTCGAAGACTAAAGCCATACTATCCGGTACAAGAACGGAGTCGGCTTTCAGCTTTGGGATATTAACGTAAATTTCCTTCCCGGGTTTAGCAGAATTGGGGTTGAAGGTTAGGACGTGTCTGGTGCTATCCCCAGTGATTTCCGTCTTATTCATGCGTCGAAAGTTAGGCATAAGTTCAGTTGTTCTGTCCATTATGTTTTTATCATAGTATAAGTTATTTCTTTTGTTTACTTTGTAGGTATTTATATATAACCCCGGCAATTAGGACTGCTACAATCCATAGGTTTTTAGCAAGGAAGGCGAGGCCCTTAGCACCCCAGCTTAGGATAGTACTCAGTAAATTTAGAAAAGGTACTAGGATTGGTAGTGCGGATTTTGCAAGATTTCCTAGTGCTTTTGCTGCTGCCCCAAGTCCGGTAGATGCTCGCATGATAATGATTATAGCGATGGAAATGGCAATGGCGGTTAGAACACCCAGGTTTTCCTTTGGCCATCTGCGGAAATTTTCGAATTTTGTTCGTATGTCTTCCCTCACTATTTCCCTGAACCTGTGTTTTCCCTCCTCTGATTCGGATTGCTGACCCATTTCTAGCCTAGTGTCGTCGATAATGCGTTTGGTGACGTCACTGCCCTTTGCCTAATGTGTTGTCTATCGGGATTTGTTTCGAGTTCTATGTTTGTTTCGAATGCTACCTTTTGGGCTTTTAGGGATTTAATCCTAACTTCCGGGGGTCCCTTTGGGGCGGTTACTCCCGCAAATTCCCTTCTCTCCTGTGTGGTTATTATACCTTTCCTTTCCAGTCTTTCCGCTTCTTCTGCACGAGTTTTACTCGCAGTGCAACGTGATGGTTTCCTGATGTAGTTCCTATCTAGCATCTCCTTGGGTATATTCTGCAGTTGCTCCTGATGCTTCTCCCTCAGTTTCCTCTTCGATTACGCTTCTAGCCTTCTTTATATGTTCTCCGACTGCTAAGTTGAAATTGATGTTGAAATCCCTTATCGTGATTTTGTACCTTTTGTTTTTGGAAATGTGGAATATGCCGCTCGAATCAATATAGGCGACTTCGGTCCCTTTGTATGTCAGCTTTTTGTCAAGGATGTCTAAATTGGATAAAAAGTTCTTGGAGATCGGTCCATCGTCTGCACTTATATGGTAATCAGAATACTGGACTTCTCTAGCATATTTGGATAATGTGTCGCTAAATTTCCCGTATGTGTACAGTTTTGTACAACTGCTCTCTCCTCTTTTTGAAGGAGTCGTTCTTAATATCCTCACGGAAACTGGATGTTTTTGCATCATCCAGTCTTTGATCGTCGGTTAGTCCGAAAAGTAAGTTATCCTCGTCAACAGGTGTATCGCTAATGACGGCCTCATCATCACCCCTTTCAGCTCCTTCACCACCTTCCGGTTGGTTATAGTCACTCATCTTTATGGTGTTTATCTTTGTTTAAGTCTAAAGATAGTTCCTGTACATAATACCTTCCCAGAATGACGTCCCCATCCTCCGGTTCCTTAAGGCTGTCCATGTTTGGATCTCCCCTAAATACCGCTGTAATGACGTATACTTCGTCGTCGAAATTAGGTTCATATCCCTTTTTGAAGGTTTTGTGTTTTACCTCCACCCTAACATGATCCCCAACCTTAAATCCCAAATTAGTGGATATCCGTAGAT